TGAATGGCCTTGGTGTAGAAATTCTCTTTGTACATAATTCATTTTTGGAATGGCCTTGGTGCAGAAATTGGATGGTTCGGATGTAAGACTTGCTGACTACTTTGATGTGATTGCCGGCACAAGCACTGGTGGCCTTGTGACTGCCATGCTTACAGCTCCAAATGAGAAGAAAAGACCTCTTTATGCTGCGAAAGATATCAAGGACTTCTACCTTGAGGAGTGTCCCAAAATCTTCCCTCAATCAAAGTAGATATCTTAATTAGACTTTTTTTTTTATACCATATCTTAATTAGACTCGATCCATCTTCATTCCAAATAATTTAATGCGTACTATATCAAGAAACTCAAATTGTGTATGCTACTTTTAACTTACAATTGACACGACTTTCGTCCATGACCAGTCATCTATTCAGTGGAGTCGAAAACGTGGTGAAATCAATGACAGGACCCAGCTATGACGGGAAATATCTCCATAGCATGCTCCGGGAAAAGCTTGGGCAGACCAGATTGCACGATACATTGACTAATGTTGTCATCCCAGCTTTCGACGTCAAACTATTCCAGCCCGCCATCTTCTCCAGCTATGCAGTTCGTACCAATTTAAGAAACCTTGGTTATTTTAGTTAGACTATTGTTTACTTTTATCTCATGCAACAGAAATTAATATGGTTCGTGTTTTTAATGGCTCAGATGAAGCACTTTTCAAGTTTGGACGCCTTGCTCAGCGATATATGCATATCAACTTCGGCTGCTCCTACTTATCTTCCTGCCCACAAATTCGAAACTAAGGAACCTGATGGCAGCACAAGAGAATTTCACATGATCGATGGTGGCATGGCGGCCAACAATCCGGTAAGATATTAAATCTCATCTATCCCATGTTAATTTGAGAACCATGCACTAATTATTTTATTACAAAATTATTACTTTCCTCATGATTACTGCAATTTTATATCTGTCGACTGTATTTTCTTCAGACCTTAGTTGCTATGGGCCAAGTGACTAGGGAGATTAGTCGAGGAAATCCCGACTTCGCCTCTGTCGGTTCATCGGATTATAGTCGCTTCATTGTTCTGTCCTTGGGAACGGGTACTACAAAAGCGGGAGGGTTTGATGCTGAGGATGTTGCCAAGTGGGGACTTTTGTCTTGGCTGACAAATGCTAATACAACTCCTATAATAGATATATACACTCAAGCAAGTGGGGATATCGTTGATCTTCATCTTTCCACTATTTTTCAAACTATGCAGTGCGAAGAACATTATCTGCGAATTCAGGTAAAAGTCTTTGCGCTGTACTCTTTTATCTTTTTTTGCTTACACTTGAAAAAATAATTAAGACAAAAAATTGGAAGTAAAAAAGAAAGCAATATGAGCTATATTAGTAAGAACCTTGAAGGCCCTGGTTTATACATAGTTTTTCTGTCCTCCAAATAGTATATAAGCGTACGCTTGTACAAACATGCATATTTCAGGATGACACGTTATCTGGAGATCTGGGTTCTGTGGATCTTGCCACAAAGGAAAATTTAGAGAATCTTGTCAAAGTTGGGGAGAATTTGTTGAAGAAACCACTTTCTAGGACTAATTTGCAGAGTGGTGCTAGTGAGTCCGTGAACAAGGGCACAAACGAGGAGGCTCTCAAAAGGTGCAAACCATCGTCCTCAAGCCCTTTGTTCTTTTGCTTACATTGAATTAATTCAAGTTATCCACTCTTCGACTGCGCTTTGATCTTTTGGTTTGAATATGTAGGTTGGCAGCAGCACTCTCTGACGAGAGGCGCCTTCGTCTTTCGAACAAGTCCAAAAAATGATGTATTGTTCTCTGAATCCTCAACGCTGTTGAGTTGACTTGTCGCCTAAATATTAGTAGTAATATACACAGTGCATGTTGACTACGTATGTGTATGTGGAAAATAAACAAATCCTTCCGGGGAAGAGATCGGAATTTCCTTCCGGTATCGATGTAATTTCTTTTCAAGAATCTGTACTTTGAAATTTGAATAATTAGCTCATTGTACCTTTTGTTTTCCTAAGTTCTTGCAGATGAATTCGTTTACTTTATTAGTGATTGCTCCACTATTCACTGCATGAATTGTGAAGCATTCCATTTGTTTTCTTTTTCCTGTGTCAAAATTGATTCTTCAGTTTGACACTGACATTTTTGAAAACTATGAAGTAACTAATTTAATTTACGTTGAAAACTTTAGGAGATAAATCATCCTCTCTTTTTTTTGTTTTGTTTTGTTTTGTTTTTATACATTTCCAGTTGCTCATAATGATGAAATTTTTATAAACAAATTCAGTAATATTGCAGATTAATCAACAAATGGTGAGAAGAATGACAAACAAATTTAGCAGATGAATGCACAAACTCTATTTGTACACAAGAAAGATCAATCTTTTCTGAGTGATGGATTGATAGAGAAATAAATTACATAGACGGCGAAAGACAAATACGTCGCAATAAGGTGGACCCGCACTGGGCGTACGCCTACGGCCTACTGATACTGCACTGGACGTACGCCTAGTGATACCTTAGTATAACTATAGGATACTAGGTTGTATAACTAGTTTTTCGGACTCCACAACTAGGATACCAGGATGTAATTGCCACGAAAGTCCTTTTACAGAAAAGGCCCTACAAAGGTCCTTTACACCTAGGGATGGCAACGGGGCGGGGGATCCCTCCCCCATCCCTCGTCCCGCTGCCTACAAATTCACTCCGTCCCCGCCCCGTCTCGCCCCGCTTCTTTCGTGGGGTTAATAAAATTTTATTATAGTTAAATTTTAATAAATAATCAAGTACTAAAATATCAACACATCATCAAGTTATTATTTATTTTAATTTTACAATTGAAACTCATAAAAACAATCAAACAAAAGTTATTTGAATACAATCCAACATTATGAAATAAATACAACTAAAATAGTTAAGTTTTCACTTTTGGTACAAATACAATCACTAATTCATTATTGTGTTTGTGCTTTTTTTTTGAAAAAAAAGTGTTATTCTATTAAGTGTAATTAGAAATTTAGTATAAATGTATTAGTAAATTTAGTATAACTAATTAATAAAATTTATTAGTAGACATGTCTAATTATTCGTATAATTGATAATATCAATTATATTACATACACTAATATACATTATATAATACATCTAACTAATAATATCATTATCATAAGTTTATAACTAATTAAATTACATATTATATATAATTATATATATAATTTTTTTTTGCGAGTGGCGGGCGGGGAGTATACTGTTTCTAAACGGGGGGAAAAATTCCCCCCCGTCCCGCCCCAACCCCCGCCCCGAGAGCCCCCCGCGGGGTGGTTGCTCGCGGGCACCCGCCCCCATTACCATCCCTATTTACACCTACACTGCCGAATAAGTATATGTTCTTAGTAGTAGTGGTATAATGTCCAATTTGGAAATTTCTTGAAAGAAAGCTAAAACTTTGGAATATTTGTTTGTAGTCATAAGCGGAAGAACAATTCACTCTTTGCCGCTCATTGGATCTAGTCCAAGGTCTTCTATTATCTACGTACAATACATCATATTAAAGCAATATTGAGTTCGTGCGTAAAATCTCCACTCATCGTCATGTGTATTGATCTATTAAAGCAATATGCAATACCAACAATTTCTTCATTTTTTTAAACAAAAAATTAGGCCTATTTCTCCGTCTTTTTGATTATCTAGAATTATGAAATAGAAAAACTACACCTAAAATAGAAAAACTACACCTACTTCCTGGCAACCTCATAAAACCAGGAATAATCTTCTTTTACTTTCTATGCTAATATCGCCCATCTTTCAAAATGAGAAATCATGTCTTGTTAATTTGACAGGGGAGGTAAAAGAGATTTTTGAAACTACAAGGTGCTAACTGATACTAAGACAAATTTGAGGAGAGGTTTGTGAAATTATCCCAAAAAAAGGACAATGAATAATAAAAAGAAATCATAAAATGACTTTAAGCCAATTAAGAATAATAAATAGAAAATCTGTGTTGTATTCTTATTGGTTGGACGAAAAGAGAAGGTAATGCATATTACCAACAACATTTGAGAAGAGAAATTTGAATTTATCCCTTTCGCTGTTAAACTCTTAAATCTTTTTTTTTTTTTTTTTTTTTTGTAATGTAGATAAGAAGAAACTGTCAAGTTGTAAAACTCATGCTCTGCACTCTAGTAAGATTTTATTATTTTTTGTTTTGTAAGTGTATGGATTTGAATCAAAGATCTTCTACCTACAATTCCTTTCATTTTACCATCCGATCTAACATTCCCTTGCACTCTAGTAAGAGTTAATTTCTAATAAGCAACTTGTTTTCAATATTGTGAATTTACTTAATTGTATTGAAATCTCATATATATGATTTTTATCATGTAATACTAAAACAGCAAGACTCCAGTATTGTCAATGCCAAGCTATAATTTGCACCAACGGAAGAGGCCAAAGGTGTCAAAGTTCCATAAAAGAAGGACTAATATGAGTCAGATAAAAAATTAAGGGACTAAATGTGAAATGTGTAAAAGCTGAAAAACTTACTACAAGTGACGAACCGATAAAGAAATTCAAATACTACGGGGAAGAGTTTAACAAAACTGTGTCGTTCGACAATTGAATCTTTTCAAAAGCCGCCGCTGTAGCCGTGGATTCTTTTTCTACTCCTTTTTATCTGTCACACCTTCTGGAAATTAGAGGTGTGAATTGTAACAAGGGAAACTGAAGCTGGTGGGGCTATTAGAAATTGCGCCAACTTCGACCTAAATGCCTTCATTTCTGTTTGATTTATTTTGGATCCTGTCTTTCTGTCCCTTGGACTTTTTTTTAATCTAATTTTTATGTGAATATCAGCTAGTGGATGACAATCTTGATTTTTTTTTTTTGGGGCCCCATTCCTTTTGTTTGGCGCTGGGCGCATCTGGAATCTCAAACGCTTATAAACCGACAACCTAATTTTTTTCCTTCTACAGGGTTCGAAAGATACCAAAATTATAGGCAAGCTTGAACTTATATATATTGGTCAAGCTGGAAATTTTGTCTTCTCTTTTCAAATTATATTGGTCAGGCTTGAACTTCATAGGCAAGCCCAAGCTTGAACTTTGTATTACTGACTATAGTAATCCCTGTTTATTTGTCTTTTCCAAAATTATCACTCTCCAAAGTGACTTTCGTGTGCCCAAAAAAAAAAAAACAAAAGTTAACTTCCGCGGATAGAACAATTCTGGATTTTCTTTAGCATGTGGGGATTTGGTCAGACAGCGTACAATCGGTCTATATCCTTTACAGGTCAAACTAAGAAAGTCTCTACCCCCATGAAGTTTTGTCTGCCTTTGATCGGTGAAAATGGACGGTGTTTTGTGTTGTTGCAGAAATTGGACGGTGACGACGACAAGACTTGCAGGCTACTTTGATGTGGCTTCGGGCACAAGCACTGGTGGTCTTGTGACGGCAATGCTTATCGCTCCAAATGAGAAGAAACGCCCTCTTTTTGCTGCCAAAGAGATCAAGGACTTCTACCTTGACCATTGCCCCAAAATCTTTCCCCAAGCAAGGTAAATTACCGTCTAAAAATTAATATCTAGTATTAGTTGTACATTCAATAAAAGAACTTCGTTGTATACTGTTTTCCAATATAATTTTCCACTCTCTAAGGAGAAGGGGCTCCGAGACGTTAGATCACCAAATGGGCATGTAGCAAAGCGGTAGAAATTACCTTCATAGTTCTCAGAGGTTTTCACTTTGCCCAATTCAACTTTCTTGTTTAAAGATGCATAATATTACATTGCATGTCGATTATTTGCATATGGAAAATTAAAATTGAATGCACTAACTAGGGAAGAGGTTATAATATCCTGTTAAGAGGGCAATACTTGTATATATTAAGCAATATGATCATTTGGTAATAATTTTCCAAAACCCGGCCTTTCACATGAGCCTTCATTTGCAGTTTGCAACATTTTTTTTGCTTTGAGCACTTGATATCTCTACTTTTAGTGAGACTAATCCGAATTCAATCCAGAAAACGCTCGCAAAGTCTGACTATTTTTCCGAAGTGGAGGCCTTGCCCAAAGCTTTTCAAGTCACCATATGCGAAAAGTAGTTATCGTCAGAACGAAGAGCTTGGAAGACTTCGGAAATGTGTAAATCAACCATATCTGCACTGGCTTGGGTGAATGCATCCACCAAGGGAGTGGAATGTCCGGAAAGTAAAGAAACAAAATGTCAACATGTTTTTCCTATTATTCAATAATAAATAATGTATGCACTTGCGCTATGTACTTTGTTACGTCAAACCTTTGCCCATGCCTTTAAGTTAGTTTAACACTGGTTGATATATTCTTTCTTCTTGTCAAAGAAGGAAAGAGGGTGGCCGGTGAGAAGAAGAGAAATATATATCCTCTATCCTCTGCTTTGTTAATTGGATACAAGTAGCGTAATCAAGTATATCTAAAACATACACTTGAAAGAAGTTTCTTCATCAAAATATGATGGCATTGATGGATGCTTTGACATAAAATTTAACATTTTTTTAAAACAAATTCTTAGCTCATTGCTCATCAAATGTGACATCTTTGCTAGTAATCACCTTTCTGGTGTCTAGATTGAACAACCCATAACCTTTGATTTTATGATCACAGTCAATAAAAATGCAGTTTTCTACTTTGTCATCTAACTTTTTCCCGATAGAATTTGGGACATCGGAATAGAGAAGACAACCAAATACTTTCAAATGAGAAATATTTGATTTCTTATTAATTCACAACTCTTGTGATGTTTTCTCAAAATTGCATCGCACAAGAGATCTATTAGAAACACAAACAACATAGAAAATAGTTTCTGCCCAAAAACCTTTAGGTATATTCTTAATTGATCTCACCATATCCAATAGAGTGCGATTCTTCCTCTACTATATCATTATACTGAGAAGTGTATCTGACTATGAATTGGTGCTTAATTCCATGTTTATAAAAAAAATCATTACAAATAGTAAACTCAATGCTTCTCTCAATTCTCAAAATTTTAATAAATTGACTAGTTTGCTTCTCAACATACATTTTAAAATTTTAACAATATCACATGCATCCTATTTATTTCTTCAAAAATGCACCCAAGTTTTTCTGTTAAAATCATCAATGAAGCTAACAAAATATTTACTACCACTATTGTAAGGTAACTCAACTGAGCACAGGCCAAAATGTATCAGCTCTAATAGTTGACTAGCCCACAAAGTCTTGCCTTTAGGAACAGGATCTCTGTCTTTCTTCTCCAAAATACAAGGCTCACAAGATTTAGCAGAAAAATCAATAGAAGACAGCCCATATACCATATTCTTCTTAGTAAGAAAATTCAAAATCCCAAAATCGAAGTGACCAAGATGCATGTGCCATAATCAAATGTCATCAAATACAATAAATTTAAAGTAAGGTAAATAATGACAATTAATTGATCTAGGTCGTAAACAACTAGTATTCATCACTACAACAAAAATGGCTTTTGGTGACATGCCTATCAGGACACTTGTTGGTTTGTGTCATTATAGCACTTCTATTATGACACTTGTTATCAACTCAATAATATACACTCTAATTTTTTTTATTTTATCTGATATAAAAATAATAATGTGCCTTTAGATTACATATCATGACACTTGAGAAAATGTGAGATATACCAAAAAAAAGAAAGGCACAAGACAACATCATAGTGAATTGGCGGAAGATTCATTTGCTGTGAAACATTCAAAACTTTCAATTTGCCGGGCAAAACAATTAGTCAAATTTTGCTTGTTCTGATCTCTCTCACAAAAAACACTCTCTCCGCAAACTAACTCTCGGCAAATTATCTCTCAGCCAAGTAGGGGCGTTAAGACCGGAGCTTTTTGTAGATGGCGCAAGACGATTGCAGATGGGTAACGAAAACCTGAAAAATAATAGACCACCGAGGTACTAAATGAGACTTTCTTTCACTTTCTTTTCTTTCGCTCTTTCTGGCTCCCGTGACCAGTTAAAGTAAGGAAGAATCAGCCACGGGATTCATCATCTCCGCTTTCAGTTCATTCCATTCCTCAAGCTCACCACCGTCTTTCTCCCCACAACCGCCACCACCACCACTGCCGGAATGTTATTTCTCTTTTCCCTAGCTACTCTCCTTCTACAATCACCAACACCAGCACCAGCACCAGCTGTTCTTTCTCTTCTTCTTCTTCTTCCTATTTTGGGATTTCGATTTCTGACAAAACCATGATTTCTGTTTCGTCTGGAAAAGCTAAGTCAAACCGATCTTTGTATATTGCAGCTGGGGTGTTTGAGAAATTTACTAAGAGACCAATTAAAGCGGTTATGTTTTCCCAGAGGGAGGCGAAAGCTTTGGAGGTAGAAATGGTGTATACCCAGCATCTTTTGCTAGGACTTATCGCAGAAGATCGTTTTTCCGGTGGGTTTTTAGGTTCTGGAATCACAATTGAGATGGGTCGCCAAATCGTTAAGAGCATTTGGCATACCGATATTGATGATAAGGAGGAGAATGGTAAGGGTAATGGGAGTGGTCTTGGTCCTGAGGGGGCAGAGGTCTCGGCCACGGATGTGCCATTTTCGCCGAGCACTAAGCGGGTTTTTGAGGCTGTTGTGAAGTATTCGAGGATTATGGGGTATAATTATATTGAGCCGAAACATATTGCCGTTGGGTTGTTCACTGTCGATGATGAAAGTGCTGGCCGTGTACTTAAGAGGTAGTACATTTTGAATTAGCATATTTTTATCCATGAATGCTTTACTCACTCAGAATTGCAATTTTTTTAGTGCTTTATATTGGTCTTATATGGACTGTTGAAACTATTGTTACAACTTGTGATCGAAGACAAAACTAAGAAGGGATGACAAAACAAGTCAACTGGGAGGTAAAAAGAATCACCCAACTCTGACTGTACATCCTGCCCCTGGGGCTTCCTTTGGCATATCTTCTGCCTGCTCTTCCCTAAGATCACCTAAGAGCTGCAACACCGATGGAAATGCCCATGAACCCATGCTCCAGAACAATTATCACAGCACCCGAATGCATATGCACAGGGTCCAGAGCTCACCTATTGTCTGCAATCTTACTGGTCTTCAGTAGCAGAATAGTGCTTTTGGTCTTCAGCTGTATCCTCAGAATTACTACCGAACAAGAAACTTCAACTTGTTGGAGTGACAGCAATGCTTATGGCTTGCAAGTATGAAGAAGTTTCTGTCCTTGTCGTTGAAGACCTCATATTGATTTCTGACAGGGCTTACTCCAGAAATGACGTGCTTGAGATGGTAGGTTTGTTATGGCATCTATTGCCTATGAGTTAATCTTTGATAGATGAAGGTTTCCTTTGTCATATAACTAAAATTGAACTGTGGCTCGTTGCAGAAGAGCTTAATGATCAACACCTTGCAGTTTAATCTTTCAGTGCCTACTCATTGTGTCTTCATGAGGTGTTTTCTTAAAGCTGCTCAATCTGATAAAAAGGTATTGTTTCGTATTTAGTGTATGTGAATTTTTTGCACTATCTTAATCTGCCTAATAACTGGCAATAATCTTCTGGTGACTAGTTGGAGCTTCTATCCTTCTTTATTGTTGAGCTGTGCCTCATCGAGTATGAAATGCTTAGGTTCCCCCTGTCTTTCTTAGCAGTAGCAGCAATCTTTATTGCACAATGCTCTGTCAATGGGTTCAAGAAGTGGACTAAGACATGCGAGAGGCACACAAACTACACTGAAGATCAGCTTTTGTAAGTGGTTCCTTATGCTTTTCACACGTTAATGAATTTTATTGCTAGCTATGATGATCCAATGATCCCAACAAATTTTGTGCATAGGTGGAACCATCTGAAGATTGATGGGTATTTGTGGTTATAACTGAAGGCTCTAATTTCATTGGAAAGTTTGGAAGCTATTGCAAGTTCTTTCTACTTGTTAGGGAAGAGAATCTTTTAGTTTGTGCACATGAGGATCTTTTAGTTTGTCCACAAGAGAATCTTTCAAGTTTGTACTTGTTAGGGATTTGCTATGTTAGTACTTATTACTGACTTTTAGTTCAACAAATTATATTTGAGCAATGACTTTTGCTTTTAGATTGCCATATGCATTCTGTTCTTTGAGATAATTTTACAAGTCCTTTGGTTTCTGATTGACGGAATGTATAGTAGGGAGCACTACCTGCAGGTTGCTTCTATATCAAAAAAAAAAAAAAAAAAAAACTCCTGGCAATTAAAAGTGTTAGCATAGAATTCGATATCCTAATGTTGTACTATAGCTATCCTGACACTTTCAATTATCAAGACAAGGGATTTTTGTTGGCAGTTGGGATGTTATAACAGCATAGTTTTCCTTGACACATTTGAATGCTATGAGCCTATCCCCATATTGGAAGGGACGACACTCGTCCGAGGTGTGAGAAAAGGTAAAGTGTCAGGTTAGATTATCTATACTGACACCTTTAAATGCCGTTAAAGGTCATTTTTGTTGTAGTGCATGTACACCTTTGTTATTAGTTCTAGACGTGGATTTACCATTCGTCAAAGTGATACCAATTTTTTCTTTTTCAAGCATAAGCACTCTTTCATTATTAACAAATTTAACAAAAATCTGAAAGACTATCTGAAAGACTCATCCAAATCAGTAAATATATTTTTATCACCACACATATAGTTACTATAGTCAAAATCCAAAAATCATTATTTTTCTTATTTTCTTCCATTCTTGAGCAAGAAAATAAAATGGTTTCATCATTTTCAATATTATTCTTTGCCATATTAGCATGCCTAACTTTATTGTTAGAATTGTTCCGGCACTCATTTTTATAATAATCAAATTTTTTACAATTACGGCACTGAATATTATATCTACGAGAATTATTATTATTTTCTTGCTTATTATTGGGATTATTGTTATCTCTTTGCTAGTAAAAATTACCTCTGCCTCGGCCTTTAAAATTGTTTCTACCCTGGCCTCATCCTCATCCTCTGAAATTTTGATTCCGCTGATTCAAAACATCACTCTTCTATGGCATATATGGCATTTGAACATAGTGCTACTCAAATATTATGGTTGAGAAGAATGCTTGATTTTTTATGGCATAATCAAGTTAGTCCTACCAAAATCTATTGTGATAGCATGTCTGCTATTAATTGTCAAAGAATCCTATATTTATGGGAGGAGCAAGCACATTGACATCAAGTTTCAATTCATTTCAAACTAGTTTAAAATCAAGAAATTGCTATTGACTATTGCAAGAGTCAAGTGGCAGATATTTTCATGAAGCCATTAAAGGTGGGAACTATTTTTCAACTTGAAAAAAATGATTGGTATAATGAAATTTGAAGACATTGGTTTCAGGGAGGTAATGTAGGATTCTAAACTAAGTATTTTTAGTATTAGTATATTTATTGAGTAGTTTTTTTATGCACTGTCTGGGTACATACAAACGAATATTGATGCATGTCACGTAAGTTAATTTCAAATTTGAAGTACATGTAATTTTACATAAGTGGCAGACATCTACCTGCTGTTGGTGTAAAAACAAAAATTAATTACACTGACAATGGATAAAAACTATAATCCTTATCTATCTAGGAAACTACTTGTTTTATTTTTATTCAATTATGGTTCCCGATTACGTAACTAATCCTTACAGGATTTTATCATTCAATGGCCCGTTCTTGGTTCATTGATACAAGTGTGAAAACATTTAGATGGTTAAATAGATGTTTCCCGTCTTTGCAGTTATGTTTCTGGCCTCGGGTTGTTACTCGTGTTTTCTTGTTTTCAACAGCAAGCCTTGTGGCTTGTTTCTGTGTCCATTGTTTGTGATATATATTTGATTAAATATTATATGAGGGCCTGCACTTGAAGTCAATGGTTTGCATGCCCGTGGAATTAAATTCCATGGCGCTTCTAGGAAGGAACCGATTCATGGATCTGAATCACCGATGACGCGATTTAAGTAGTAACTTGATTGCTGATATTCAGAAGAAATGATGCAAACTCGGTTTTCTCAACATCATGATCAGTCATGTACTAGTGCAATGTTTGCTGTGGAACGTGATCACCGTAAGAATCGACTCTCATCCCTGCAATTAGCTGCGGCTGTTTACTAGTGAAATTTATGAGTTTGAAAGTTTCATATTCAAACGCATTTTCTTGGAAATGTTCTCTAAATCGTTGGCAGCGTTGTATGGAGATGAAATTGAGAAATCAAGTGTAAATTTTGTCAGAAATCCTTTAACTCATTATTCTCCAAAAAAAAGTCTACCTCACATGATATAGGTTTAGAGCACGCAGGTAATAAGAGGTCAATCCCTATCATTGTTGTGATTGTTGAAGTACAAAAACATTCGTTAGTCGCTAAAGAAAAGGAAAACAGAGAAATCGCAAGTTTCTAAATCTCGTTGAGAAAACAAGAGTCTTTAACAGACAGTATCATTTTGCTTCCTCATCCTCCCTTAGCGTAGGGTAAAAATGTTATTGAGTTTCAAATCAAAAAGTTCATTTCTACCATACAAAGCACAACGGAGGCTACTACTTCTTCTAAAAGCTAAAAGACGGACGCAGAGGCTATTCGCAAGAGAGAAGGAAAACATAGAAATGGCAAATTTCTAAATCTCGTTTTAAGATGAGAAAACAAGACTCGTTTTAAGATGGTAAAAGTGTTATTGAGTTTTTTTTTTTTTGAAGGAATGTTAATGAGTTTCAAATCAGAAAGTTCATTAATTTCTACCATTATATGGTAGGCAAAAAAAAAATATTCACAAATTCTGCTAATTAATGTAGCTATCAGAACAGAAGAATTACCGGGTGGATCGGAAGACCACGGATCATTCATTGTCCTGCAGCCAATCTTTTATTTTTTTCCTTTGAAGTTTCCGCCCTCATTTTCTTAATGAAAATGGGCATTTAATAAATGTTAACCACGCCAAACAAGCTGTAACATTTCAATACACGCAGGCTCAGGGAAACAGCAAGTCTTGATAAAATCGTGTTTCGTGGGAAAATTATACACAAATATTCAACTTGATCAAGTGGAGGGCTTTTTTGACCAAAAGAAGTTTTGTGAGTCTGTAGAACTTAAGACAAGTGGATCAGTGCCTTTAAAAATAAATGTTTTTCTGAGCCCTGGCATTGGTTTATGGCTTAATTAATTAATTAATTAATAAGACATCCACAACCAAATAAAAGTATGCTTTAGCCTAATAAAACGTGGGCGTCTCTGTCTTTTTAACAATAAGTAGAGAGAGTGCCAATAGAAAGCCAACAATCAACTTTCAAGTTTCAATAAACTCCGTTAAAAAAAAAACTTACAATCCTCTTTAGTTACTATTTTCTTTTCTCAAAGCCACGAAAAACTTCTGTGCATGGGTAGGATTTTGAACTTTTCTTTTGCGTACAGGGCTACGGCCCAGTCATAATAGAATAATTGGTCAAATCTTTCAGGTCAAACGTATACACAGGAGGTTCAGTCAACAAAAGAAGATAACAATATATTAATGCTAGACACTTCTGAAACACTATAAATACCCCAAGTTCGTCATCATTTTAGTACTCAAAAAGTTTCAAAAGGGTTTTCATCGCCTTCTCAGTATCTTTGTCATCATATATCTAGCTAAAGGCTGTATTTTACGACTTTAACTCTTCATCTTTAGCTCTCATATACTTAAGTATCTGCCTTTTGATATTGTATTTAACCTTACAATCTGTCATGGAAAGCCCCAGATCATTTCTACAGCCACCAACCTATGGAAATAGCATCACCATCTTAAGCATTGATGGCGGAGGGATCAGAGGAATTATACCTGGAGTAATCCTTGGATTTTTAGAGTCTGAGCTTCAGGTTTGCCAAGCATCAATTTTCTTTTCCAATCTTTCATGAAGAGAATAAACCCGATTTGTGACTTTCGCATGCATGCGTTAAATTGCATAGAGTACTCTTATTTGGTGTAATAATATTCATGTGATATATGTCTTTGGTGCAGAAATTGGATGGTGAAGATGCGAGACTCGCTGACTACTTTGATGTGATATCGGGCACCAGCACTGGTGGTCTTGTGACTGCAATGCTTGCCGCTCCAAATGACAAGAATCGGCCTCTCTTTGCTGCCAAAGAGATCAAGGACTTTTACCTTGACAATTGCCCTCAAATCTTCCCGCAAGAAACGTAATCAGCCTGACTATATACCATCTTCATTGTCCAAACAATTAAGTTACTATATCGACCCGCTAGTGCCAATTAACTAACATGATTCATGTTCATGGCCAGACACTTAATGCTGGGACAAGCTGAAAAGCTAATTAAAGCCGTGACTGGACCCAAATATGATGGCAAATATCTCCATAATCTGCTCAAGCAAAAGCTGGGTGAGACCAAGTTGCACCAAACACTGACTAATGTTGTCATCCCTACTTTCGACATCAAATTGCTCCAGCCCACCATCTTTTCCAGCTATGCAGTTCGTCTCGATCAAACCCTTTCATTTTTTTATCATTGTATTACATGTTCCTTCTAAAAGAAACTCATATTCCGATGTTTTGCATGGCTCAGTTGAAGCAGCATCCAAGCCTAGACGCCTTATTGAGAGATATATGCATAGGAACTTCAGCTGCTCCCACTTATCTTCCTGCCCATAAATTCCAAACTGAAGATTCTGATGGTAGCGTCAAAGAATTTAACCTTATCGATGGTGGCGTGGCTGCTAACAATCCGGTATAATTTATAATCTTTATCGTGTTACTTTGAGAAACTTGGATTGTGTATATTTTAGCCAAAAAAAAAAAAAATCATTTTTTCTCACGATTAAGGTAAATATGAAATAAAATTTCAGGCTTTAGTTGCAATGAACCATGTGACTAAGGAGGTTAGCCAAGGAAATTCCGACTTCTTCTCGATTAGATCACAGGAATATACTCGCTTCATTGTTCTATCCTTGGGAACTGGTACAGCGAAAGAGGAAGGAAAGTATGATGCAGAGCAAGCAGCGAAATGGGGAATTCTGGGTTGGCTCACAAGTGGTGGTTCAACTCCGCTAGTGGATGTATCCTCTCAAGCAAGTAGCGATATGGTTGACTTTCACCTTTCTACTATTTTTCAAACACTTCAGTCTGAAGAAAATTATTTACGAATTCAGGTACCTACATTCCT